ATTATGGAAAACAAACAAACAAAACAAATAACCCAATTACCAACAGGGCAAGGGATCTAAATAAATACTTCTCAAAAGAAACCTTATGAATGGGCAACAAATATAAGGAAAAAATACTCAGCATTACTAAATTCAGGGAAATTCAAATCAAAACCATGGTGAGACATCACTGCACCCCCAAAATGGCTATTATCATAAAGACTAAAGATAACAAGTGGCATAAGATGTGGATTAAAAGGAACCTGGAGGCACTGTTGATGGGATTATAAATTAGTACAGTCATTATGGGAATGGAAGCTAAAGACGCAGCTACCATCTGATCCAGCAGTCTCACTCCTGTGCATGCACCCAAAGGTGATGAAGCACAGGGCTGTGTCCTGTGCTCAGCTGCAGTGCTGATCGCATGGTCAGGGAAAGGAAGCGATGGAATGGAGATGAAAATGTGGTGTCTACAAACAGAAGGCCACATGGCCTAAAAATGAAACCCTGTCACTCACAGGAAGACAAACGCAAGCAGACATCGCTGGTCTGCGTGAAGTCAATGACCCACACCTGGAATCTAGAGGAGCCAATCTCAGAGAATTTGAGAGTAAAATGGTGGGAGCAAAGGCCCAGGGGAGTAGCATGCAGGGGACAGTTGGGCATCCATGATGAGAGGTGACAAGGTTACAGCTGGGCAGGAATCAGAGCTCCTGACTCCACTGCAGAGTAGGGTGATAGCAGCCAGCACACCCTCAATAACTAGAATGCATTGTATGTGTGGATAGCCAGGAGAAAGTATTTTCAAAGCTTTCACTATAAAGAAACAATAAATGCTTAAAGAAGTAAATGTCTTTAACCGGATTTAAATGTTACATACTGAATACCTAGGTTAAACACTACATGGCACCCCATGAATATGGACAACTTTTATGTTTTTATGTATTGGTAAAATACTAAACATTTTGAAATGTTTCAGTCATATTGAAAGAAAATTGAGCATCTCTTATGTGATTATGATCCAACAATTGCATCGTGCACTTCTTTTGACATAGAAGGTGAAATTTCTGTCCACAGATGTTTATAACAACTTAATTCATCATTGTCAAACCTTGGAGGCAAGGACGATGACCCCAGGAAGTGAGTGGACACCTAAACTGTGCTACATTAAGCAAAACTGAGCTGTCCAACGTGAAAAGGCGCAGAGGAAATTTAGCTGCATATTACTGGGTGAAAGAAGCCAGCTGAGAAGGCTGCACATGGGCTGATTCCAACAGGGTATTAACCTAGAAGAGGAAAAGCTATGAAGACAGGAGAGGTCGGAACTAGGGTGGAGGAGGAAGGACCAGTGGAACACGGAAGACTTTTAAGACAGTGAAACCATCTTCACTCCCTGCATGAAATTATAAGGGTGCCCATGTGTCTTTCAAAGACAAGTGTGAGCTACAGTATAAACTACAGACTGATTGTCCACTGTAGATTTACCAAATGGGCCTCCTTCAGGTAGGAGATATTGATAACTGGGAGCAGTGGAGTAGAGGAGCAGAGTACACCTGAACTCTGTGTTTTTCAGTTTTGCTATGAATCTAAACTTGCTTTAAAAAAAAATTAAACCCATTTTAAAAAAAAACAGCCAACAAATACATAGAACTAAGTCTAAAAAATGTAAGACTTTCATATAAAGAAGTAAAAACATTGCAAACATTAACTTTATGTTTATGGGTTGGAAGATTAGTGTTTTTATGTACATTCTCCACCCGAATTAACTGACTTAAATCTCAGAAGACCTTTTTGTGAAGATTGAATGACTGCTTCCAAAGTTCAAATAAAACCCAAGATCATCTTGAAAGAAAAAAAATTGGGAGTAACAATGATAGATATCAAGACATTTATGAAGCCATAGTAATTAATACTAAATTTTTTGACCTGTGCATAGACAAATCATCAAAATGAAGAGAGAATTCAGAAACAAATCCATTTTTATAAGCAGATATCTGGTTTGGGGCAAAGTTACCACAGCCAGGAAATAGAAATGATCATATTAGAATAATCCTTTTTTATTTTGGTGGGAATTATTTCTTCTTAATTTTTTAGATTATTCAGATGAGATAAACTTGACTCCTAGCTTGTATTATATCTAAATATCTGTCCTGCAGAGAAAACAGACCTAAATTTGAGAGAGAAAGCAAAACAAAATAAAGAACTTTACAGAATAATGGAGAGAATATCTTATGACATCAATTTTCTAACAGGACACAAACATACTACATGTAGGAGAAAAATTAGTAACTTGGATTGCATTACAACAAGGCAGTTTTCTTTATTGAAGCATACAATTATAAGAATTAAATTATAAGCCAAAGGCTAGAAGGCCAGGTTTGCCCTTATGTGCTGCCAAATAACTCATACTCAAAATATTAAAGACCTCCTACAAATTAATAAGAAAAAGACAAACTACCCAATTAAAAATTGGCAAATCAACCTGAATAGGTACTTTATAAAAAAGTGCATTTCGTAGCAAATAAGCACATGAAAGGGCTCTGAGTGTCATTAATCATAAGTAAATGTACCACACATCCACCAGGACGGCAAACAACAATAACACTTGGCCGATCTAAGCACCGGTGAGGATGTTCAAGCAGGCAGAACTTTCAAATACAGCTGGTTGCCATGGAAAAGTATTCAGAAGTATTTCTAAAGCAGAAGATATGCACAATACCCACTGTATATGCGTGCAATATGGATACAAGACAATACATAGAATATGGGGAAATGTCATGGGCACAGTGCTGAGTTCAAAAGAACACAGGAGAACCCACTGTGTGATTTTATTGGCATGATAGTTTGAAAATGGCATAATTTAATTAAAGTATGTAAAGGTCTCCACTGATACTATTCTGTGTAGACGTCCATCCTGAATAGGGAAAGCTCTTAGAGATATTGACAATGCTCTGTAAATTTTTCCTGATGAGTTACACAAGTGTGTGTAACTATCAGCACCTCTTCAGGCTAAACCCTTAGTATCTATGTAGCACCTTGAATGCATGCTTTGCCTGGATTAAACATTGCAAATATTTTCAAATCAACAAAAAGTAAGCGGGTCATCTACAAAACTGGAAAAAACACACAATTCTTAACATTAGTGAGATTTAATCAAGAAATGACTTACAGAGAATGAATATGGGTTCATCACACGAATAAAAAATTTGCAAAGGAAATGCAAGTGATGGAGAGCTATTCAAACTTTGATAGCTGGCAGCCAGCAATTTTTCCCTTAAAGGACTGGCAAAAGTGATGAAAAAATGAATTGAAAAGGTTAGGATTTAGGGAAATAAGAACTTGACTATGTTTTTCAATAAGGTTATAAATGTTACCACCTTGCTAGGAGGAAATAGTCTGTTGCTATGCATTAGAGTAATCTTTGTACTATGTATTAAAATAGAAAATGATCATGTACTTCAACACAGCCATTCAATTCCTATGGATTTCTCCTAGGGAAATTAGGACAACATTAATCATAGTATTGTTTACCAACATCATTGAGTATATGCAAGGCACTGTGCTATAGGCATTGCCTTTATTCATTCGACAAATAAATCCTGCCAGGTGCTTGTAAAACAGCAATGCGTTAATGTGATGTCGCCTCATTTAATGATCACAGTGGCTCTGTATCATGATCATCTTAAAGTTGGAATGACTGTGGTTTAGAGACCGAAGTAAGTTTATCCAGGCCATATAGGTGGAAATCAAGGAGCTGCGGGATGAACTCCGGCAGAGACACACCGGAGTGTAGGAGCATGGTAGATGTGCAGAAATGCAGTGAGGTGACGGCAGATAAGATACGTGAGCGCAGGGTTTTCCACCAGATACTGTAACTGTTGATGATTTTCCTGTAGGAGCTTGTTTTAAAAATGTATTACAGGTAAGTAATTGCAGACAGAGATGCCATTTTGGGAAATGAGCAGCTATACTACCCTGAGTGGGAGCCATCACATTGGGGGGTGGTATATTTACTAACCTAAGGTGGTATATTTACTAACCTAAGGTGGTATATTTACTAACCTCGGCCCTTCTCTCTAAGGGCCGAGAGAAAGTATTTGTGTTATAATTACCTACTTAGAAAAATATTATATATACCACCATATCTCTAGCTCCACCTGGTTTAGCTTTTTTTATAATGGGCAGATGCTAAATACTGTATAGTATCTCCATTTAAAGGTAGATATTTTAAAGACCATTTGCTAGATATTTCTAGATAATTCTCCTTTCAACTTTTCTAGTTTTAAACTTCTTTTCTGTCTGTAGGGTGTATTATCTTCTTAAATTACACAGCCTATTTTTAGCATTGGAAAATAAGAAGATCATAGATCCAATTTATTACAAGTTGATAACATTTCTTAGTTTCTCATATTCCAGAGTCTTGTATTAACAGTGCTCTGTACTAAAATCCAAGCCAAAAAAACAGAGAGAGAAAAGGAAGCATGGATTATTGCATATGGTTCTTTCTTTTAAATTTAATCCGAGTAGAGAAGTTCTAATTTTAAAGCACGTTGAACAGTGGCTCCTAAAGGAGACGCCTGTCTAGAATCTGCCACTGACACCCCATGCGGAAAGAGGGTCTTCTACAGTGTAGCTCAGTCAGGAGCTGAGCTCATGCCAGATGAGCGGGGACATCCACCAGGTATGAAGAGACAGAGCAGGAGACCCTGTGAGCAAAGCTTCTGACTCTGCCCCGCTGTGAGTCACACAGTGAAAAGTCTTGCCTCCACCAGCGGAAGAAGAGACACACGGCAGGGTCCTCTCTGGGAGACCCAAGAGAGCCCAGTCCTTGACTTCAGATTTGTGGCTTCCACAACAGAGAGAATGCATGTCTATGACATTAATCCGCCACCCAGGTGATAGTAGTTTGTTACTGTGGCCCCAGGAAACGAACCAAAACAAACTAAAATATTATTTCTTTGAAGCATTTTAGGAACAATGTGAGTGGATAAGAGAAATGCATTCTGAAGTTAGTACCTTACCATTTAAACTCTGTCCTATTTGTAGAGTACCGGAAGCAAAATCGGAAAGGGACCCACTTAGAGTTCCTGTGTGGAAAGCCGTGTTATCCTCCTCCACGCCATTGATAAAGAAGTTGATTTTTGTCCGATGCACCTGCAAGACATTATCTCTATTATTTTAAACGCATAAACATTTATTTGACCATAACCACATATCAACAGTTTTCTCAAGTTATTTTACTGCTCATCCACTTTCTTCATTTGAAAGGGCTGCAATTTAACAGCACAATGAAATCTGCTTGCAAGTCTAGACATAAACCAACATACTGCTGTGCTGTGATAATCCCTGCAAACTCACAGGTATGCATAATTGCCCTAGATATGTGATAGTTCTGATTCTCATGCTTTCATGCATTCTAAATATATGTTTTTGTTTAATGCTCATTAAATCTGTTATGATTGTACTTGAAAATAAAGAAATTAATACAAAAGAGATATTCAAAACCAGAAATATAAACAATTCACTACATGTGGATATAATTCACTTTGTCACTAAAACAAAACACTTCTAATACATATTTATTCTTTTAAATATTAGTATATGTTTGGTAATTTTCAGATATATTTTCCCAATTCAGACTACCATAGAAATTTTCTGGTTTTAGTCTAAGCTAATCAATCAAGCAGCCTAACAATGCCCAATCGCTTTGCAGGTTACCAATCTTTTTCTATAAATGGTCAGAAGATATTTTTTTTCTTTGAATGTCAAATCATTTAGTGTTATGGGCCAAATGGCGCCAGTTTACCACTGCTCAGCACTGAGATTGTAATGGAAGGCTACAATACAAAATACGTAAGCAAATATGCCTGTCTTCCAATAAAACTGTCTTTCGAAAACAAGCAGCCAGCCAGCTATGCACCACTGGTTGTAGTTCAATCCTGAATTACATCATAAAAATGTACCAAAGGTTTGTTTGGGGGGTATGGTCCCTGAATAAGCAATTCAAACTTTTATGCAAAGCCCATCAAAGTTCATATTTACACAAAATCTTTGATAACTGCATGTAATCCTCACTAAAGTGGTCAGCTGTTTTGATATCAAATTTCGTCTCTACAAATAGTGCTTCTGTTCAAGTGCTTTTAACTTAAATGCGAAAGCAATCTTCAGCACTCCAGTGAGGAAAGCCATTCAAAGGGCAAACAAAAGACTCCCTGAAGCAAAGGGCTGGGGAGGAAGAGACACAGATTTCATGACCGCTGCTGTGGCTGGGGGCTAAGGCTCCAGTTAAAACTATAGACACCGCGGCACTCAACATGCTATTCCACTGCAGAGCTCCAGTGATAAATGTGAGTCGACTCGGGTGCATCAGTGGGACAGGTGTGCCTCTGTGGTGCAGGATTTTGATGGTGGGAAGGTACGAAAAGGCAGGATGGGTATGGGAAATGTGCCATCCACTCAACTTTGCTGTAAGCTTATGAACAGTTTTTTATTAAATTATATTTTAAATGTTCTTCCATTAAAAAAATCAAATAACTAATGAAGATAACATTTATTCTCAGACATCTTTACATTATTATATGAATTATTACCTTAAATCCTTCTGAAAATTCCCAATCAAAAATACAACTAAACAAAAGAAAACCTGGAAGCTAAGGTCATAATTATTTGTTAACAACTGATGCTTCAAAAAGTTCTTCAATATAATTTTCCTCCATTGTAAGCAACCTCCTTCCATGTGGACATATTCTTTCTTAAATTCACTCACCCAGGATTGGGTTTGATTTAATTTTAAAACAAAGCTTTCACAGACTAAAATCACACACCAGGTCTTCACCGGCCTAAACCTATCCCTCTCTGCTGCGTTTTTTGTTTTGCATCCATTTTTTTACAGCCTGTTACTGTCATTTGGTGTTTGACTGTTATCATTATAAAAGATACAGGCTTTTCTACTTTGTTATTTGTAGCATTATCTCATGTTTTACAACATCTTTGGGCAACACGCAGGCACATGAAATATAACTAGTGAAAAGTTCTCGGTGGTATTAATGCATAAAAAAGAATGTGGTTCCATCTCTACTGTCTTTACCCAGCCAAAAGCTGATGAACAGCCAATTTTCCTTTATCACATTAGCACAGCCATGAGGGAAACACATTTGTTCTAGTCAGCTACACTAAAGATACTATTACCAATCTAACATATACATGTTTTATATCAGCAGTATTCTCAGAGCATGAGAGAGCCCACAATATATTAACACTAGCATGACAGTTTATTTAAGAAAAGAAAATTGTCTCTGCAGAGGGACAGAAGTTAGAAATGTATGGCTAAAGCTCAGTGTCACTGGTCTAATAAAGGTAATAATTCTTAGGTTTTCTTTATAGCAGGTAACACTCCTGTGACAGGTCTGTCATATCATTCAAATAAAAATGTTGTCTTTTACAAGTTGAAGTGCACCTTTATTCTGAGTCAGATAGGAAGTATGCTTTTGATTTTCTGTGTTCACTGTATTATATCTGTAGTCGAGAGTTCGGGACCTTCTCTTTTTTTTTTATCAACTCATCGCTTATTTGCTTAGTAGAAGAATTCGGTGTCACTTGCAGTGAATTTCAGGGCATGTTTTCATTTGGTTGGCACTTAAAAAGTGATTAATGATGATCCCTGGCCGCTCTCCCCCGCCATCCCCTCCCTTACCAACCACCTTTCTATAAATAAGACGGAATCATCTTTGGTTTTGTGCACCGTGTTTTACGTTCCAAGATTCTCCAGACTGTTTTACAATTCTGATCTGGGACAGCATCACACAGAAATTGTGAAGACTCCAGTGCCTTTCTGCAATAGCTCATTTGGATTATCCCCCTGCCAGTTCTTGAGGGGAATAGGAATATATTTGATGGAATTTCTGATTTGTGAAGAGAAAGTCTTCTGCTAAAGTGAGCTTCCCACCGATCTCATTCCCTAGCCCTTGGAGGACAGGAACAGCTCGTGCATGTTTATTGATGTCCCTGAGATGGGTAAACTGGCAAAGCCAGCAGGAGTTTTAGAAAAGTCTTTAAATCCCCCGCATAGCAGATCCAAAAACACTTTAGAAAGTCGATGTCCATGAGTGAGTTGCTCTCCAGCCTTTGTTCTCTGGGAGCTTCTCCTTCTATTTTAATCACCTTCTTGGTTGAATTTGTGTCCCTGGGAGATGTGTTACTTGTCCATTTGAACGCAAGAGTGTATTATGTTTCTTTCAAAAGGTAGAATTCGTAAGCTTACCCTGTAATTCTCCAGCATGATTAGTGGGGAGTCTAATTCAAAAGACAAGGAAGTCCCCCAGCAGCTAAGCAGTCACCAAAGAGAAAACATAATCCAGCTCACCTAGAGGATAGTAATTGTCCACAATCACCTGCTCCCTTGAGATCCAGACCTTTGTTTCTATTCTATTCCCTCCTGCTGGCCATTATCAACCCAAAGAAGCTGGTTACTTTGGCTGGGAAGCAAATAGGCAGAGAAACTGGGAGTAGCTTCCTCCGTGGAAAAATAGGTTTCTCCTTACAGAGATCCTTCTAATTCCAATTGAATTCAGTGAAGCATCAGCCTAGTACTCACCGTGGCTATATAGATCAGACCACGAAAAGTTAGTCATGATAGTTCTTCTCCAGGAGATTGTATGTGTGATAACAGAATAATTTTAATATCCTTGATAGTATCTTAATCATTATAAGGGATAATGGTTATTTTAAATGTAAGTACTGAATCTGAATGTATCCAATGAAGCATTGTGGTTTTTAAAGAAGTTTTGTATAGAAGCTGTTTTAATCTTTTAGCATGTGTGGTGCATAACTTATTTTTAGACTTCTTTATGACATGTTTACTCAGAACCTATTCGCAAGCCTCCCAAGAACACCAGTTTTGTCGATTTGATAGGTTATCATTTTAAAATAAAAGCACTTTAAACACTCTGACTAAATATATACAACATACAAAGCTTTGGCAATGTATCTTAAATTTACTCTCAAAAGAGGGTGATGGAAGATAACAAATACAGCATCACTTTGGATGTTAAGGAATTCAAGCAAAAAGCAAACCACTGTGATATGGATCAAAAGGGAAGCTTTTATGGCAAAGAAATGTTGCCTACTTTCTGAAATAGAAATTGCCTCGAAATAGAAATTTCTATTTCTGTGTGAAAGAAGGTTTGCAGAAAAGTTTCTGCCATTGTAGCTGTAATTTTGAAGCATCAGACAACTTATCCTAAAACCACATAAGGTTATTTCAAAGCAGCACATGCATGCTGGCTAATCCTGCTGGAGAACGTGGAATCTCACCCTCTGGGCTTGCCTCCCTGAGCCTAAGGTTTCCCCACTCACCTCATTCAGTTTCATTTCTAACCTCAAACGCTGGCCTTCTTGAAGTCTCCAGCTGCCTGGTCTTACACAATATTGAACACTCTCAACATGATTTATTCAAGCCACTGCCAGTCGGGTATTTACCTAAAGTTTTAGAATTTTTAAACATGCCTCTCAAGTTCTGTACCCCCCAGTCATCCTCTGACACCTACCTCCGAACTGTAAAAGTAGTTAACATGTAACTGAAAAATTAGTATGCCGGGCATTGTTGTAAAATTTTTATATGTATTCATTTTTTCTTGCCACACCAAACGAAGGCAGTTTTGCTACCATCACCATTTTAAAGATAAACTGAATCACGGAGAAGCGGAAACAGAAATTATTCAAGGTCAGGGAGAAGGTTGATTGGTTCCGGAGCCACTTTGAAACAGCCGGGTTTAATTAGCCAATTAAATCCAGTTAGCGCGTGGGAGCAGGAGCCATGTAATTTATCGGACCCATGCGCTGAACTCGGGCTCCGTGTCAGCACCGTTCAGGATGGCAGGATAATACCCTCGCGGACTGCAGTCACCTGTCTCGTGCCTGCAAGGTGCTGGCATCCCCCTAACACCGTCTCACTCGCCTCTTCCCTCACCCGGGGCTCCCCGATTCCCCACAGCTGAGGCTACCCAGGCTTTACTGTTGGAATGATTCGCCTCTGCAGACTTTGAGGATCCTTCCGTCTTTGAACAGCTTTTGCTGTTGCAAATGATGGAACAGGGTATCCCTGGGTAACTTCCTAGGACCCAGATCTAACTACTGAGAACACACTAGGCAAACCC